GCCCCGAGCCTTCGTGTCCGGCGCACACGTGTGTGTACTGCACACCGACTCCCGTCGCTGTCGGGCCGCCTTCCCGGTCAAGGCGGAGGAGGCCCTCGGGACACGGCACAGAGGGCGGGTGGGCAGCGGCTCGGCAAGCTCACGTGTGAACCCGTCTGGAGGCGCCAGCGCCAGCGCCGGGGCCGCCGTGGGCGCCGCCCTCACACCTGGTGGCGTCGTGCACCCACCGGGCCTTGCGCCTTCGCGCGGGGGGCCTCCCTTGTGACTTGGCTCGTCCCGCTGCTCCTTGGGCGGCGTGCACCTGCCTGGGACAGCTGGGCAGCCCAGGAGTTCCTGCCTAGTGAGGTCAAGCACAGTTGTGCCCACTTGGAAGGTCGACGGTGCCAGTACCAGGAACCATTTCCTGAGCACCTGTTCTGTGATCGGTGTGGTGGCCTCTGCTTTGTCACTCCCCCCTACCATCAGCGGGGCAGGCTTCGTTATCCTTCTATTCTATTCTCTTGTTTCTACAGGTGGATAAAGTAGCGGAAAAGCTTGAGCAGCCTTGAAGGTCAACCCAATTAGTCAGCACCCGAGGAGGCATTGGAACGCCTGCCTCTGGCCCAAAAAAACAAATTTGAAACATGAGAAAATAGACAGCAGCACTCCCCCTCCCCTTCCTGTTTTCAAAAAGTGTAAAAAGTGAGCTGACATTTTTTGGAAAATAAGATGTTGATGGGAGTCCATCTACCAAACAGGAAGCAGGCTGTTAGATATTTTGTTAGAATTAAGGATGTTCTTCTGTAAGACTTTCTGGTTTCATTTAGAAACCTTGATTGGGAAGCATCTTCAGTGGCAGACTTGGGAAACAACATCCAGTATTCTCAAGGAAGCCTGTAAATAATCAGGAAGAATTGTTGAATTCAAAATAGTTTTTTCTCTTTTAATTGTATATATTTTACCTTGTAAGAATAGTATAAGAAAAAATTTTAAGTAGAGAAATGGGGGGAAACATCACTTAGAGCCTCTCATAACATTTTGGTCTGTTTCTTGTGCTGTGGGATTTTTAAAAAAATCACTGAATCTTTTATTTTAAATTAGCATGTATTAAAGAGAGAAGGTGGTATAAAGAAAAAAACTAAAGATTACTCATCCTAATACCAGTTAAGACTTTGGTACATTTCCTTCTGGTCTTTTTCTCCGTGTAGATTGCTTCTGGCACTAGTCATTTTTAAATCCCGTTCCACAATAATTTACAGTCAAACCAAAATTAAAACTATGGGAAGGAAAAAAACAAACTAACAACGAGCCGTCTGGCTGGATCATTGATAATTAACTTTATATCATCTTCATTACCTCCCAGCTATATCCGATACTCCCAGATCTGTGCAAAAGCAGTGAGAGATGCACTGAAGGCAGAGTTCAAAGCAAATGCTGAGAAGACTTCCGGCAGCACCGTAAAAATTGTGAAAGTGAAAAAGGAGTAATCTGTAAGTTACTGATTTGTTCGAAGGCTTGCATCTTAAGTTCTTAGAACACTTTCAAAACAAAGTAATTTTAGTTTTGAATTCTGTCCATATTTTTGGTCAGTCAGTACATTCAGATGTTAGTGGGTAATAATTTAAAGCATACAGGTGATAGGAGTCCTGAGGCATCGTAAAAGAATTTCGTTTCGGGCCCTGACAAGCAGAAGTAATTGGCACATTGATTTTCAGCTCATTTAGCGGTGCTTAGGGTAGAGAGCCGTCTTATTTTAATTAAACCTGTTTCATTTGTCTGCACAACATCAAATAATTTGAAGGATAAACTCCCCCCTTTTTGTAATTGCTGTTGGAGTTACATAACAGTTCAGGGGCATGACAAATTGCAGTTCTTTGCGTCTTCATTTCCCCCACATCTGCTAATGTTCTCACAAATGGCTGCTTCCTGAACATGAGGGCTACAAGCACAGGCAAGGGTCCTGCGATTTTATCAAGCGGGAACATCTGCAGGGCCCTGCGGGGACAGCTGTTACTCTGCTAGATTTAGGATTCTTTCCGAGGGCTTGGTTCGTTTCACTTCTCCAGAGATGTGAGCCATGTAGAGTTATATCCTGTGCAATAAAAGACAGTTTTGTACAGTTGATAAGTTCTGACTCTTTGCTCCCAACTACTAAAGCGATTTGATCTCTAAGCCTCTTTCTTGACATTGTTATTTCAAAGATAAGCAAGGCAAATACCAGAGAGATGTTTTTCAGATTTAATTTTCTTGTTTTGCTTTAAAAAAAAGGCATCAGACCTGCAGTGGCAAGGAAATGTGATCAATATGAATCCTTTGGCAGCTTGTGGTTATGAGCAATTTTACTTATTGGAGCTGTCTCCCCTAAGCACTTTTCATTTCCATTTTGAATTAGTAAATATTTTATTGAGTCTGGAGATGCAGTGTTTTGAATGTGGCCCTTTTTCTAGGGGCTCTCTGTCTCATCTCATAATTCTAAGTAATGAGACCTGGTTTTATGTTGGGTTGTTTTAACAATGAGCTAGCTGAGAAAATCACTGAGCCTCTGCCGCAGAGCCAAGCCAAACTCCACATCGAACTCCCTTGACCTTGTGATGTCCTTGGGGTCAGGAAGTAGTGTCCAGCTCCCGTAAACAAGACACACCTGCTCTCCGTATGTCCTGCTGGGGATGCTCCTGGCCTTAAGCACAGGGGGCTTTTAGTGTCTTTTTAAAGGCAGAGTAGTTTCTTTATAGCCCACAGAGTACTTGGTTCTCCTTAGAAAGGAAGTTCCTGTTCGGCTAAGGCCATGCACGTGAACCAGCAGTTTTTACAGCCAAGAGCCAAGGGTCAGCATCAGCCATGTGAAGTGACGCCAAAGTTATATTACACAGTTCGTGACAAGGAAGTCATTGTCCATGTTCATGTCGGATTTTTAAGAAAACACAGAGGACTAGCAACTGTTGCATTTTCTTCTTTCTTCCTAGACCCTGACTAAAGCTTGAAATGCTACATTTTCCAAGGTGAAGATGTGTGGGTACATGTTATGGCAGATTGAAAACGATCTCCCTACATGGAAAAAAATCCCTGTCTTGTTCTAGATTGACAATGCCAATAAATTGAAGTATGGTTCACTTCTTGCTGTTGGTTCTTGTTTTCCTTTGGACTTTTTCTTCATAGGAGCTATCCACACCTGCAGGATTAGGACCTTAGGAATTGCAGTTTCTTAAGGTAGGGGGAAACGGGTTTCATATCTAGTGAGCAGAGGGAAACAGAAAAGAGGTTTTAAATGTCTCAGGATAGAAAGTTCTCTTTTTCATATCAATTGACAAAATTAGCCTCTTGTTGAGGCTCTCATTGTCCCTTATCTTTGAATTGCAGAAGTCACAGCCAAGTGGCGGGATGGCTTACTTACTACCCGCTGGCCTGGTTCTCCCACATAGCCGGCTTTTTGCCTAAATGACAGAAATTACTAAAAGCATAGATAAGGAAAAAAAATACTAGATTGTGGTCTTCATTTTTTATTGTACACTTAAAACCTGTGGAGAAGAGCTAATACCGGGATTTCAGCAAGAAATGTGCTTGACATTGTTTTGTAAATGAATCTCTGTCCTGGGAACACTCCCCATGGGAAATGGGTCGGAGCGGGAGCCGTTCAGTGCCTTGCTCTCATGGAGCTGATGGCCGAGCTGCAGCTTAGTCTTTAAAAAGACTCTTGCCTGCAGGTCTGGGGGGCGGGGGGCGCATGAGGCTGGCAGCTGCTCCACGGTGTTTGCACGCTGTCTCACTTCTTCATTAAATGCTCTAAATGCTCGGGCGTGAAGACCTGTTGCAAGTGTTTTGTTTTTATCTTCCTTTGAAACTTAGAAGCACTCGCCTGAGTAAAACACCCACTGCAAAGTTAACTGCTTGATTGGAACTGTTTTGGAGAACGGAGAAAGAAATGTGAACAGGAAATTTTGAAACACAGTTCAGCTTCTATGCCAGGACCAGTTCTCCCCGTGATACTTAAGATAACAATAAGTTCTGGGGGCCACCGAGCAGTGCTGAGGAGGCGCCCAAGAGATTGCCTTTGTTCTCGGCCTTCTGCAGGCGATTTCCTGCCCCTGGACACTTGACCTGTAGGTTTTATTTAATTCTTGGCCCAGGACAGGCAAGGAGGAGCTCCTGGATGGAGTATGAGAGCCCGGCCACTGGGTAGTAGCCACTTGAGGGCCCCGGGAACTCTTTGCCTGGGCCGGTCTGCTGTTCTAAAGTCGGGGCACCTCAGCTGTCAGCACCTCAGTCCCCAAGGTCAAGGTACTAGGAGGCATCTTTCATTACAGGGATAGGAATCAATGAGTCTCGAGGCTGTCAGGCCTTTTTCAGACGAACAAAGCCAATGGGCAAACGGCTGAATTCTTTGCAGCCGGGTAACTAGAGAGAAGGCATCAGTGAATGTGGGAGATAGGTTAATTAAGGTGAGACTTGGGGCCAGGGCTGGTGATAGGGAAAGGGGTAAAGCAACTGAATAAAAGACAAGTTTACTGTCTAGCAAAGATTCTTTGAGCCTCTTTCTCTGTGATTAAAAATCCTGAATGGATACTGGGATAAAGTAAACTTCCAGTACCAGGCCTACTGGGCCCCTGGCAGGACTACTGTGTCTGGATGACCAGAGGACCCTGATCAGACCTGGCTGTGGGCGTTTCACTAACTAGTTGAGTGGTTTTTGAGGGAGTCGTTAATCTCTGCTCCTGCGGGGTTCTTGTGCGAAGGGAAGGAACGGACAAGTTCTGAGATTCTGATCCCATGTCTCTATCTCTGAGACCAGTGTCACCATGGCAACCATACCGCTAAAGGAATAGGCTCAATATCTGAGGGGATAGATTTCTTTCAGTTTCTAGTGGGGTTTTTTTTTTTGTTTGTGCGTGTGTGTTTCTACCATACAAAAGAGTAGGATGGTGAAATACATTTTGAAATATTTTTAACTACTCAAATTAATCAGTCTGGGCGGTTAGGCTCCAAGAAAAGGAATTTATTTAGTCTGAAATAAAGCAATTTAGCCATTTAAAATTGAATTTCCTTGTACTTTAATGATTACTATTGAGCAAACAAAAATCTTGACAGTAATATAAATCAGCAGGTTTTTTGATTTAGATCTGTAGCCTTCCTTGTATCTATAATAGATTGCCTTTTTAGATTTGAGAAGGAAAGTGCTAGAGGAAGCGCATCTAAATTCTTGTAACATCAAAGGTCATAAGTCTTTTTAGCTTCTGAGAAGTTATGAACTTCAGAGTATACAGGTACATTTTCTTAATAAATCTGCTTTTGTTTTTAATGCTTGAGCCACAAGTAGGAAGTGTTTAAAACTTTTCTTAAGTGTTGTCAATAGAAGGCTTGTCACGATGCCGACAGCAGGACATCGTTTGCGCAGGTATTTTCGTTACTTCTCACAACATGCACGTGAAGGAGTGACGTTTCCCAGAACAGAATGAGCAGGCAGTGTCGTCCATCCACCTGCTACCTTACTGCAGATGACAAATGCAGATCCGAGAACCTAGTTGCCTGCAAGTAAATATTTCCTGCAGGGAGGGTTGGAGCCTCTTCCCATTGCCGACTACTCATGGATCAAAGAGAAGAGCTCAGTGGTAATTCTAGGAGGCCGTTAAGACCCTTACGGCCCTGGAAGGGATGGCCGTGCAGTATGTCAGAGATAGGTAAACTGTAATTAAAAAGTTACGGATGATTTGATTACACTCCTGTGGATTTGGTCCTGTTGTAATGTGAGCAGATTAAACTCGGGTAATGGTCAAAGCTGTGTCATCATGCAAACATTTATGGCAACTTCTGCAAATTAATTTGAACTGTAAAAGTTCCCTAATGAGACGACGTCCTCCACGAGGAAGAAGGACACCGCCGCCGAATTCCTGCATCTGAATGGTTGCCCAGCGTGCCCAGCGCACCGGGTGCCCTTTCTGAAAGAGCAGAGGCTACCGAGTGCTTTCAGGAGGTGTTCACTGAATGAGAGTGAAAAGGGCATTTTGAAACAGCCTTTACCAGGAAAACCGAAGATGGTGATTAATGAATTCCCAGAATCCAACACCCCTAAGAAACTTAAAGAGTATCTAAACATCTATGTTAACAGGTAGCTATTCAGAAATAAAGATCAGAGGATTGGGGTTGGTGACTGTTGCCTGTCGTTTGAGGGGTTTTTCTTGGCCAGGTATTTTGGTAAAAAGCACTGCCACTTTTTTTTTTTTTCTGCCCTCCCTTTTTTCCCTTTCCAGTTAGTACACGGACGTGCACTCAAGGTCTACACGATTCACTAGTGGATGCTGACTCACACTTGCTTCGGCTGCACAGCTCCCCACGTACCAGTTAGTCACCTGGCTTTTCGGGAGGCCAGCGAGCACCAGGAATTAGGATGCTGGGCAGTGCACATGACGGAAGCTGGGGTATGACTCTTAGCAGGGGTGCCAAGCAAGGGTTCCAGGGTGCTCATCGGTGCTGCGAAAGGGTGGAGGTGGACGTCAGCCGCGGTAGCCATGCACGTCGGTAGTCTTGAGGGTACTCTTGATGCCTGGCACAGCGCCGTGCCTGCAGTAACTACCCGATCAACATTTCTAAACAAAGGTGGTGTGCTTCACGATAAATTCACTTTGCCATTAAAACCCGGTTAATAGAGTGTGCAGTGAAGAGCAAAGTCTTGAAAGCTAGTGAAAGCCAGCGGAAGGCCCCAGCGCTCCCAGCTCCCGCCCAGGCCCCTGTCCCCGCGGCCGCGCATGCGTGCGGACACGGGGTGGCTGCGGCGCGTCCCGTGGGGAGTCGGCGGGACGGCAGGGAGGCGGGAGGGGGTCTGCAGCCGACCTCACACCGCCCCGCGAGGTTCGTGTGGCCCATCTTCCGGTTCCATTTCTGCCTCCCCCACGACCTCTCCGTCCTCCTGAACCGCTCTGGCGTCTTGCAGTTGCTGGTACTCGGACACCAAATCGCGGATGTTGCTCTCGGCCTCTGCAAACTCGCCGACGTCCATGCCTTCGCTGGTATACCAGTGCACGAACGCCCTCCTCCGGAACATGGTCGAGAAGTGCTCCGCCACGCGGCCGAACAGCTCCTGCACGGCCGTGCTGTTGCCAATGAAGGTGGCGGCCATGCTCAGCCCCGGGGGCGGGATGTCACAGACGGCCACCTTGACGTTGTTGGGGATCCACTCCACGAAGCAGCCGCTGTGCCGGGTCTGCACGCCGAGCATCTGCTCGTCCACCTCCTTGGTGGACATGCGGCCCCGGAAGATGCAGGCCACGGTCAGGTAGCGGCCGCGGCGCGGGTCGCAGGCGGCCATGGCGTTGCGCGCGTCGAACACCTGCTGCGTGAGCTCGGCCACGGTGAGCGCGCGGTACTGCCGGCCGTCGCGGCTGGTGAGCGGCGCGAAGCCAGGCGTGAAGAAGTGCAGGCGCGGGAAGGGCACCATGTTCACGGCCAGCTTGCGCAGGTCGGCATTGAGCTGGCCCGGGAAGCGCAAAGACGTGGTAATGCCGCTCATGGTCAGGGACACCAGGTGGTTGAGGTCGCCGTAGCTGGGCGCGGCCAGCTTGAGTGTGCGGAGGCAGATGTCGTAGAGCGCCTCGTTGTCGATGCAGAAGCAGGCGTCGGCGTTCTGCGCCAACTGCTGCAGGGACAGCACGGCGTTGTAGGGCTCCACCACCGTGTCGGACACCTTGGGCGAGGGCAGGACGCTGAAGGCGTTTAGGATGCGGTCGGGGAAGTCCTCCCGGATCCGGCTCAGCAGCAGCGTGCCCATGCCCGCGCCCGTGCCGCCGCCCAGCGAATGCACCAGCTGGAAGCCTTGCAGGCAGTCGCAGGCCTCGCTGGCGCTGCGCACGGCGTCCAGCACGCTCTCCGCCAGCTCGGCGCCCTCCGTGTAGTGGCCCTTGGCCCAGTTGTTGCCGGCCCCGGAGTTACCTGTGCAGAGGGAGGCGGGTTACGGGGCTGTCCGGGTGGCGGCGGGAGACAGGGCACCCCTAGGAGGCACCCTCACCTCGTCCCCCCCGGGGGGGGGGAGGGGGTGGACATCCCTGCAGGAAAATGTACCGTAGATGAAGCTGTCCGGATGAAAGAGAGCTCCCAATTTGCTGGATCGGATGCTATCCATCGTCCCAGGCTCCAGGTCCACCAGCAGCGCCCGGGGCACATATTTCTTACCTGTGTAGAAAAATAGGAAGAAGTCAGCAAACTTTCGTTTTTCTAAAAGTTAATGTTTCATCAAAATAGAACCTTGTGATACCCATCAGGAAAAAGGTATTTCTAGAAGAAAGACATTTGAAGTAATATTCTTGACACCAACAAGTGCATAAATCTATAAAATACCTTCGAAATCCTTTTTCCATCATTTTTTGTGTTGTTTTGTTGTCTCGTCAGTGACAGAGATCCTGCCCTACTGGAAGTGATTCTGGTTTTCATTTAAGAACTAAACAGGAAAGGTGGTGCTTGAGCAGCGGTGGTAAACACACGGGCCCCCACTCAGTGACTTCTTCCCCGGGCCCTTGCCCTAGGTGGAACTTGGGGGCCCGCCAGTCTTGGGGTCCCACTGCGCTGCCTGGACATCAGCCTGACCGTGTGCGCATCGCGCCCAGAGCACAGCGTCCTACCGTGGGCCTCGTTGTAGTACACGCTGATCCTCTCCAGCTGCAAGGCACAGTCCCCACAGTAGCCCCCGGCCGAGTCGATCCCATGCTCCTCGCCAATCACCTCCCAGAACTGAAAGCAGCAGGAGGGGAGGTCAGTGTACAGAGGGACCCCAGAAAAGGGCAGGTGGGTACCCGTGAGCCAGCAGATTGACCAGAGGGACAGGAGGAAGAGAGTGCTGCTGGGCCTGCCCGGAGGGGTCCGTCGGGCTGCCCCTGTCCCGGACGTGCCTTTAGGCCCATTTTGTCAGTGCCAGCTGCACGGCACTGTAATTTGCTCTTGCCTCCGCTAAACACGGATATGAAGACTGTGTTTTATACCCACCTGAACGCCTTAAATAAAATGCCAACACATAAAATATTAAATTGGATTTTGCTCCTATTAAATGGAGGCCACGGTATACATTAAAGCTGTCGTTTTACAATTCACATCAGCCCGGGTATCTCTAATTTCACCTTCTAGTGCTTCAAGCTAGTAAAGTATAGGTATACCATTAAATGAAAATAGACTGAATTCTTATCTGATTTCACAATAATATCCCCTTCACTTGGGTATTTATTTTCATGCAGTTTTCCAAAAAGCCCATAACTAGGACATCCAGGCCCAGCTTTTAGCCATGTGCATTTTTCACGATCAGGTATGCACACAATTCAAGATTATGCACAGCTCTTGTAACTATTTGAAACATATGACACTTTCAATCTCACATACAGTATTTATTAATATAGCTGTGTGTCTTAATATGGAAACAGTTACTGAGATGGCCCCTCTCATTGCCCTAGAGAAGGACATATTCAAGTGCAATGAAAATATATTCATTTATGTTAAAATCCCCAAGGGTGTTTTCCCAGCCGTATCTTATAAGTGATGGCTCTGCTCTGGCCATGGTCTCATTAACCAGACTTTATTTTAGAGTAAATTACCAGCACTGTTCAGGGTCTGAAAGAATAAATAAATTTAAGTTCTATAACACCACAAACTAAATGTCTTTTGCAGTTCTTTTGGCCCCAAATAATAAGTAGTCGCCGGGGCTCTAAGCACCAGACAACACGATGCTGGAGGAAGAGCTAAGAACCTATCTAGACCCTGCACTTCCTCTGCCGCGCCTCCCTCCAGATTATCTTCCCACTTCAGAGTGCTGGGGCTGGCGCCTCCCACTTCTCTGTGTGTTCGACTTAGGAACATCTCATCACCGTGGACGGAAAGGCGGCAACTTCTTTTCAAGGAGTGATATTCTTTGCCCCAGGTTTTAAACACCTGCATTAAAAGGCTAGTTTTTCATAGCTGCATTATTCACAATAGCTAAAAGTTGGAAACAACCTATGTGTCCACTGACAGATGAGGGGATAAACAAAGTGTGGGGTATCCATGCAATGGACTATCATTCAGCCATAAAAAGGAAGGAGATTCGGACATAGGCTGCAACGTGGTTGAGCCTTGAGGACATAATGCTCAGTGACATAAGCCAGACACAGAAGGCCAGATACTGTGTGATGTCACTTCTATGAGGTCCCTAGAAGAGTTCAGATTTGGGGGTCCCTGGGTGGCTGAGTTGGTTGAGCATCTGACTCTTGATTTCAGCTTAGGTCATGTTCTTGGGGTCGTGAGATCAAGCCCCGCGTTGGGCTCTGTGCTGGGCATGGCGCCTGCTGGAGATTCTCTCTCCCTCTCCCTCTGCCTCCCCCTCCCCATCTCATCTCCCACTCACACTTTCTAAATAAATAACTAACTATAACATTTTTTTAAAAAGAGTTCAAATTCTTGGGCGCCTGGGTGGCTCAGTTGGTTCAGCGACTGCCTTCGGCTCAGGTCATGATCCCGGAGTCCTGGGATCGAGTCCCGCGTCGGGCCCCCTGCTCAGCGGGGAGTCTGCTTCTCCCTCTGACCCTCTTCCCTTTCATGCTCTCTATCCCTCATTCTCTCTCTCTCAGATAAATAAATAAAATCTTTAAAAAAAAATAAGAATAAAAATAAAATAAAAAATAAAAAGTTCAAATTCTTAGATAGTAGAAGGGTGGGTGCCAGAGTCTGGGGGAGGGGAGTTAGTATTTAATGAAGACAGAGTTTTTAGTTTTGCAAAAGGAAAAGCATTTTGGGAGATTGAATGCACAACACTGTGAATATACTTAACAGTATTGAACCGCACACTTAAAAATGATGGCTGGAGATGGCAAATTTTACACTGTGTTTTACCACAAGTTTTTAAAATTTAACTTTTAATGCAATTAAAAATTTTTACAGCTTTATTTATTTATTTGTATTTACTTATTTTAGAGAGAGAGTGGGGGGAGGGGCAGAGGGAGAGACTCTTTCAAGCAGATTCCCTGCTGAGTGCGGAGCCCGCACGGGGCTCCATCCCATGACCCATGAGATCATGACCTGAGCCAAAACCGAGAGTCGGATGCTAACCGACTGAGCCATCCAGGTGCCCCAGTGCAATTAAATTTTTAATGCCATTCATACTAGTGAAAGTAATTTCAAAATGGCAAAGGGAACCATCAGATGGCTGTTAGTACAAGTGTGTAAAACTAGGGTTGAAATTCGGGTTGGAGACCTGTTGGACTGTGTCATCTCTTAGAGTTGGCCACTGAACCAGGCACTGTGTACAAAAAATTTAGGTGGGGAGGGGACACACTCATGTATACTCCAGAGAGTGTATTTTAATTGTTTCTGCTACCACACCCAAAAACGTTTAGGTTTACCTCCTTCGTCTCCTATTGCTTACTAAATGGAACAGATGTGGATCTTTTTAAACTTTGCAGCACAAACAAGGGAGGGGATGGAAAGGCATCTTAGTGATATCATGTAAAAAGTCGCCCAACAAACTTTAGGAAACTGTTTTGAGACAAAGTACTGTCTTTTTTTTTTTTTTTTTTTTAAAGATTTTATTTATTTATTTGAGAGAGAGAGAGAGAAACAGCATGAGAGGGGAGAAGGTCAGAGGGAGAAGCAGGCTCCCCGCTGAGCCAGGAGCCCGATGTGGGACTCGATCCCGGGACTCCAGGATCATGACCTGAGCCGAAGGCAGTCGCTTAACCAACTGAGCCACCCAGGCGCCCGAGACAAAGTACTGTCTTTAGAAAGTTCCTTGCTAAAGTCATGAAAGTAAACAAGGTTCCCTGTAAGAGGCGGTGAAATTAGCATGAATTCAGTTAACCCTCTCATCCTACCTCCTGTATCTCTCTTTCACTATGGGCATCAGTTAATGAAGCCAAGTATTCAGCAAGTGCTTGCGAACTGCTGGACTTGTTACCTTCCCTGCCGACTGAGGATATTTTCTTAGTTGGCTACACCCAGCGACCGTAGGAAAGCTAGTCCTAGTAATCGAACTCTCCTTACCTTGGCTCCGATCTGGTTCCCGCACTGGCCGATCTGAAGATGTACGATTTCACGCATCCTTGCTTTGCGTCCAAGTGTAAGGTCTTCACAGAATCCTCAGTCTCTGGGAAAGCCGCCCTTCTTCACTGGTGGGAGCCCAACACGACTCTGGTCACTGCACCGATGGGACCAGCTGACCAAGCTGGTCCCAGGGTGTGTCTACCGCCCAGAGGCCCAGCCTCTACTCTCTTCTGCTCTCTGCCTGTCATCCTGGTGAAGGGGGTGTTTCTTCCTCTCCCAAAACAGAATATTGCCCAGTCACTTCCCAGAGTTCAAGACCAAAGCCTGCCTTTGTGCACAGTGCCTGGAGGTCTCGCACCAGGTGTGGGCCTGACCGTGGTGGACTCTGGACACCCGGGTGATGGGGCTCATGATATGACATCCGAACCACAGCTCCCAGCTCATGGGGTGAGGGGACCACCTCCAGGGAGCTCTCCCTGACCAAGCCAGTTGTGTTATTAGGAATCCTTTGTCTAAACCCATCGCTTGACAGATGAGGCCACGATATCCCAGCGCATGAAGTGACTTCACCATAGTCACACAGCCAGTGAGACGTCCCTACCTTGCTTTAGACCTGGCCATGTGTCCCGTGTCTTCAGCTACGTTTCCTAAGGAGTGCTCCGACAGCCACTGACAGTGCTGACGTGTCCTTTGGGGGAACAAGGGTGGACAGTTTTATTTTTACAGTGTCTACTTTAATGTAAATAGGAAAAGAAATAATTAGCATTTACAATAGTAAAATGATAATGAGAGAAACTTTCCTTTGAACTTGGCCGAAGTTGTAAAGGCAACTTGTGATTCTTCCGCATTTGGGAAAGCGCTATCAAGAGACACCGTCTCAACTCCATGGCTCGCCATCAAGGCCCTTCCCAGCATGGCCCCACACTTCCCCTCCAGCCCCTTCCCCAGCCTTTGGTCCTCAGAAAGCCTGTGCTTTGCGTCAGCGTGGCTCTCCCCCTGCTCTGCGTGTCAATTCCTGCTCTTCCGGAAACTGCAGAGCGGCTGCCCAGGCCAGGACCTCCCCCCGAAGCCCTGAGGAGCAGGCAGCCACCCCCCGTGGGCACCTGCTTCTCCGGGCCTCTCTCCAGTATTTGCCAAGCTCCCGGGGCCCCCATTGTCGGAACAGCTACAGACAGAGACCTGCCGTGGGCCAGGCACACACTGGCAGCCAGGGATATGGAAATGAAGGAGACCCATGCAGACACGGCCACCGGGACGTGGACTCAAAGGCAGGACTGAAGGCACACAGACCCAGAGTCCCCGGGCGCTCCCTCCCCTGCCTCTGACTGGACAGGTGACCGCGGCTGTGGGGTCTGCCCTGCCTATCGTCACCCTGACCGGCAGGCCGCTCCTAAACCCTCTGCACTTTTCCACAGGCCCGGCGAGGCCCAAGACGGGAGGTCAGTGACCCAGACCGGCAAGTCACTAACTGCTCTGTAGTGGCCTTTTTGCTGGAAAATAGCCTCTACTGCTCCCAAAGGAGTTCAGCCCCGAAGTAAAAGGAGCTGGAGTGTTCCCTGCCGTAGAACGCTGACGTGGGGAAGCAGGACTTTGTCCCGTGGGTGCCAGCCCCCCCCCCCAGGGCTGCCCCTGTCTTCCACTGTCCAGTGACCTCACGGGCCACGTGCCGAGGGAGAGCTCCGTGCGACCCTGGGTCGGGGACCCGACCAGGGCAGAAGGTACTGTAAGGGACACTACCGGGACACCTACAAAATCTGAATATAGACCGGGTGGATTGAATAATCACATTGTATCCACGTTGTATTTCCTGAATTTGATCATGGCCGGGTTATACAAATGGAAATTCTTGTTTTCAGGAGATAGTATGAAATATTCAGGGTCAAGAGTCACCTTGCGGGCAGCTTGCCCGCAAATAGTTGGGCAAGAACAGTAACAGTGCGATAAATGTCGAGAGACGGGTTAAGCAAATGTGGCAAAATGTTAACAATTGGAGAATCTTTGTAAACGAGTACAAGATTAATACTCTTGCAACATCTCTGAGTTTGGAATGTTTTCCTACTCCAATCTGAATGACCACATGATTACAGCTGCCTCTGGTCCAAAGCCTGCCACCCCCCACGGTAAAGAGAAGAAAGTGTAAATTCCAGAGGAAGAAATGTGCATGTACTTAGCAGTATTTTGTTCACAAGTTAAAAAAATATATACGCAGAATAAACCTTTCAGCTTCCATGACATTCAGCCCCCGCCCCCCCCCCCCCGCCTACCTTCACCCCTTTGCTCTCCCCTCTGGCCCCTCACCTGCCCTCCCCAGCCTCCCCCTGCTCATCAGACCGCAGAATTCCAGGGCAGCCCCTCTGCTGCGCGCCCTCCCCCCCCACCCGAGCCCTCGCTCTCCCACCGCAGCATCCTGGCTGGAAGCTCCCGGCAGGCGCCAGCACGCGGGCTTACGGCCCTCACCTGCGTCTGTGTTTGCTAATCACTTATCCTCAGGCCGTATCTCCCCACCAGCCTGGGAGCTGCCCGTGTCATTTCACCTTTGCGTCCCCAAAGTGCCTGATACAGAAGAGGGCCTCAGCAAATGTTTGTGGAGTGCACACCAACAGCTGGGCTGCTTACTCAGAATGGCAAGTTTTCTTCAAGCCAAGAACGTATTTATTCACGAGTATGTCCTGATGGGCGAGGTAGGGGCATGGGGCCTGAGGACTTTCTTCTCTGGCCCCTGAGAGGTGGTCTAGGCTGAAAGTAGAGACTGTTCCAGGAAAGCTGGGTGTCAGGAACGGGTTGTAGATGCAGCGACCGCACGAGCTATTACGGGAAGCTGTTGGCTGGCCGGGCTGCTGAAAGGGGCCCGTGTTGGCCGCCACAGGGACCACTGGGTTGGGCCGGAGGGGCGTTTTTGATCTTCCTGTGTTCATTCTGTGCTGTCTGAGCAGGATCCAGTGTGCTGGGGTCCCCCCCGCCAAATCTCCACCCTGGAGCACATTCCTCTTGGCCATCTCAGTTTGCTCAGGGAGGGAAAAGCGCAGGTTTCCAGATGGGCGCTTAAAAGGTTTTTCTGTTAATGGGGCAGTTGGCAAAAAAAAAAAAAAAAAAAAAAGGATTGGGGGGTTTGGGAGGAGAGGAGAGGAGAGGAGAGGAACCCTGTTTGCTTTGATTCCCGGCTCTGCCGGCAATGTTGACTCAGTCTGGCCCGCTGTGCTGAGCCTTGGCCGCTGTGAGGGGCGGGGCAGATCGGGGCAGGGAGGCTTGGTGGCCCCAGCCGCTCAGGGAGGCCCACCTCCTCCTGAAACTTGAATTTTCCCAGCTGTAGAAGGGGATGATGGTCCTGGGTCCCAGGTTTGTGGGGGAAGACAGGGCACACTGGGGGCTAACCCCCAACAGCCCCTCGCAGGTGGTGTTTTTCACGTGGGCTTCACAGGATGGGAGCAGATGTGTGGACAGCGCCATTCATTCGATACCTAGGAACCGAGTGCCCACTGCGTGTCAGGGCCCAGAGGGCTGTGCTCGGGGATCGGAACTGTGTGGACAGAGCAGAGGGGCAAGTTGTGGGTCCACACCGTCTCTGCTCTGTTGTCCACATTTACCAAGGGACCTGCTCCCCTGAGGAAGGAGCTCTCCTCTGACCGCCAACTTAGCACAAGCCAGGGGAGTGGTGAAGGTACGCGCCTTTCCCAGACCACGAGACATGGTCCCTTCCCAGGACGCAGATAAACTGTCCCTCGAGAGACCGTTCCCCAGGGTCTGTTCTCCAGCCAGGCTGAAGGTGACCCCCAGCCCTGAACTGCAGCAAGGGATTAGAGGTGGCTGTCCATGATGAGTGATAAACTCCTTTTCTCAGCACAAGGAAGGGCCGTGGTGAAGGCAGGTTGGAAATGAGGGCTCAGGGCCGAGCTTTAGTGAGCATCGCCCAAAAAGGCAGAGGGCAGGAGCGAGGGCTTCCCTGAGCGGGCGCGATGCCTCACGACAAGTACACCAGGATGAGGAAGAAGGACGACCAGGCCTGCCCTTCGCTGAAACGCCCTCTCTCCCCTGGCGGGCCATGGCCATCCATCCACGAGAAGACTCGGTGGTAGCGAGCCTTTTCCTGCATGACACTTGGCTTTATTATGGGAACAGAACGAAGATGATAAGAAAAGCCAAGTGTCACCCAGAAACCCCAAATCGGCTGCTTCCAGACTTCCCCCAGGAGATGCCCCTCCGTGGTCAGATGGAGCTCCCCCCACCTCTGTGGGGCAAATGGAATGTAATTAGGAGAAAAACAGAGTACTCAGATTTCATTGATTTCATGCGCCCCTGATCCTTCCACTTCCGAGTGCATTGAAGCTCCTTGAATAACTCAGAGAAGATTGTTGAATTATAGTGTTTGCTTGTGATTCAGAAGCAGAAATTTTTCCAAATGTCTTAGCAAGAAACTGACATCTGAGGGGCCATTATGAGTGAGTCAGCGAGTGTGGGCAGATCATCAGATGAACTGAGCTCTACTTTCTTGTACTCTGCCTCGCTGTTCTCTTACTGTACAGGAAAGTTCTGGGAGGATGAATAAGTAAGTACAGGAGAAAAGAACTAAGAAGATGTTGCTGGCTTTCACGAAGCAGGGCTGCCCGGCCCCACGGAGGAGGTCAGACCTCCGCCCCCTGTCCCCTGCGGGGACACTGAGAGTCCGGACCCCGGGCTGTGGCATCTCTCATCTGCAGGAGGAAGCGCGCGCGCGCACGAGCTCGCTCACGCACCGCGGCCCCTGAACGGCTGTGATTCTCGAGGTGTATGGACACATTAACCTTCTCAGCCGCATCTCTCCCATCTCCCAAGGTGTGCAGCTCCTGATAAGCAATGTGCTGTGGCAGGAACAGAGATAAGCAGGGTATGGTTCGGTACCTGGAGCTGAAATCAAACAAAGATAAATACTTTTTGAAGCCCGGTGTTTGTCCAAGAAACCTCTGTTGTAAAGTCTCAGAAATCCATTCGTTTACGCAACAAATATTGGCTGAGTACTATTTGGGGGCTCGAGGGACCTTGGAGAAGTGGGAGGCTTGGGGCCTGCACCCCAGGAACGCAGAGACAGGACAGCACCACCCCTTCCCGTTGGCCTTCGCCAAGTTCTCCGCCACCTCTCACACACCGCCCCCTGGGGCCAGCTCTTGAGCAAGGTAATGGTCCTCTTCTTTGTGCAGTAGAATCTGAGGCTTGGGGAGGGAAACGACAAGCTCAAATCCCGGGATAACATGGCAGAACCAGTCACAGGTCT